GATGGCGACGACGATACAAGTGGAGAAGAGAGTAAGTCTACATGGGAATCTTCATACCGGATAGCAAGACTAACATTATGTTCCAGCTATTGAATCTCGTGTTGCCCGCATCAAGGCTCGTGTAGCCGAGTTGACGAACAACATGGAAGGTACAAATGGCCCTCAGGCTAATGCCCCTCGCCATTAGATAACCTCCAGCGAGACAGGCTTCTCTCAGCCTGAGGTGGAATTGTATCATGGCCTTCCTTCATTGCCAGCGCGGACGAAGTCTGTCCTTTATACGAACAATCGCGACGACGTGACACATCTACGAGACACATTTCGCAAGCCTTGCACACGTTTAATACCAGCCGACGCTGATTTGCTTTCTTCATTTTTCTCTGGCCTCGTTTCTTTATTTTTTGAGTTTCTTCTTTCTCGTTTGACATATGATACCACTAGAAGATGTAAGAAGAGAAAAGCAGCGAATCCTGACAGTTACATGAGAAGAACGAGGGGGTCAAGAAACAATGGACTGGGCTTTTCCGAGTGCCATGAAATCCTGTATTTACTCATATGTTTTTCAGCCCAAATTCTAGCAAACCCCCTTATTCAGCGTTTATTATATATATCTTGCTTTGGGGACCATCCTTGGACTCGTCAATGTTGTCGTAAATGTGGTGACTTGCTTGAAAGTGAAATTTTAATAAAAGAAGCAGCTCGATATTTCTAACTTGGAACTCCATACATATATTTATTGAGTTAGTTCCTTGTAGGTTGGCCTTAGGGAGCAAGAAAACTTTGGATCTTTATCTTGAATGATAAAAAGATTTAGGTAAATTTAGTATAGACTTAGGATGTCTTTAGATAAGTTATTTTAATCACTTAGGATAAAGGTCCTAAGTTTTCTTGTCCCCCCTTGGTTAGATAGCTATGGTATCCATTTGCAAGATGCTCTAATTAGATCAAGTAGTCTAATATAATTATTCTGCATAAATTTATTGAGATCTATGATGCTCTCACTCGCTTACCTTGGCCACGACCTCTACTTGGGGGCTCTTCATCTTTTTCATCGCCAACTTCTTCAGCATATTCCTCTTCCTCGACCGGAGCCGCTGCGTTCCTCCTTGATGCTCTCTTTCGCTTTCCGCCATTCTCAGCACCCCTGAGCTCTTCACCTGCGACATTTGCTCGCAGACGATCCACCGCTGCAGCCATGCGCTTGCTTCCTTGAGCTTTCTGTCTTGGTGCAAATGCCTCCTTAGCTCCAGCTCCAACACTACCCCCAAAGAATCTGGTGATGTTGCTCTGTGTGCCTTCGCGATCTCGCTTATTCATATCCTTAATGACTGGAACAAGAACCTCGTCCGTGCGTTCTTTACTCCAACCAATGGTAGCCATCAGGAACTGTCGTAGTCCCTCCACGTCTGGCACACCCCATTGGAAATTCTCATTGCTGTCGTCGACCTCGGGGTGTAGGTACGCATCATACACAGCTGGGTTAGGAAAGCCTGGTGGGAGGAAGAGTTTGGTGCCTTGAGATTTGCGAAACTTCTTGCGGAAGGGCGTCGAAACATCAGCGTCCTTAGGGCGTGTCTGCGATTGCACCGATTTCCACCATTCGCGAAAGTTCTCTAACCCAGACTTGCCAGGAAACTCGGACAGAATCTCAACAGCTGTGACAGGACCGACACCGGGCAATCCTTCAGTGTAATCGGAGCCCAGCAGATGTGCAAGAGAGATAAGCTGCTCTCGAGACAGAGACAACTCCTTCTCAATGTCGCCCACCAGGTAGCACTCAACAAATTTGTTGCTATTAAACATGTTCTTGTACACTCGTGTGCCACCGAACAAGAAGGTATCCGAATCGTCAGTCACAATGCCATCGACAAGTCCTAGACGGACGAGCTCGGCGCATTGAGCTTCAGCTTCCATAGGGGCGGTGATGTAAGGAATACCAAACAGACGAAGCAGAGCTTGGCACTCCGTGATCATGACTTGAGTGACCTCATCCGCGTCTCGGCGGTCTTTCTTCTGTTGGTTCCGAAGGGCACGCAGTTCTCTTTCATAGTCCTCTTTGTTTTGTTCGGCCGTTTTGTTATTGAGCTCACTAGCGAAACGGGCATGCTCTTCGGCTTCCTCGGCCATTTGTGCCATAAGCTCTTCGTCACCAGGATCACTGAACTCGTCGTACTCCACGTCGTCAAAAAGCCCATCGTCGTCGCTATCAAGTTCTTGGTTTCCTTCCACTGCTGGCGCACTGATGGAAGGAAGTTCCTCAAAGATAGGCGTAGGGCTCTTTTCTGCCGCGACCTCGGCCAAAGCATTGGTGGGTACTACATCTTCGAATTCTGGCTCGGGTGATTCTGATTCTCGAGACTTGTTCTCATCTTCTTGTACTGTATGTCCAGCTGGTTCCTCCACTGTACGATCCGCAAGCCCTTGAGCTTCTGGTACAGGTGATGGCTCCTTGGCCTTATCTGCTACTTGTTCAGGGGCATCCTCCCGCTCATGTGTTAGAGTTGAAGCTTCCCTTGTCAATTCTGGCTCTTCAGTTTGAAGAGGAGCTTCCTTGATCTTCTTGGTCTCGTCTTCCGCGTCGATGGTAATGGGTTCATTCTGGGCAGGCTTCTTCGGTGATGGTGCTTTTTCCAAAACCTCGACATCACTATCATCGTCTGACGATGAGTCAATGTGGATCAGCTGATCTTGCATCTTGCGGCGATACAGTCTATCCTCTTCTTCAGCTGCCAGCCTGTCTGCATTGTTGATCTCACGCTCTGCTTCTTGCTGCTTCTTCAGCGATTCTCGGATATCCGTGTCATCCGTCAACCAAGGCGGCAAAGGTCTGGGTGCGTTCTCATCCTGCAGTTCTCTCTCAAAACCACCAGCCGTGTCGTCCTCTTCGTCATTGGAAACTGTTAGGTTTTCATTCGGAGCTTCAGCTTTCTTACTTGATCCAGCTTCTGGGGCTTTCTTCTTTCCAAATAGTGACGAGCCCCAGTCAAGTTTCGGGAACGGCAATGGGCCATCAAATGGGTTTTTCTTGTTCTCAACGGCGGGTACAAACTTTGGTTTTGGCTGAGGCTTCTTCTTCATCCTGGCTTTTGCAAGCACCGTCTGCATATCTTCGTCGCTGTCGCTATCAGCAGCGGTATCACGCTCTTGGCGCCTAGGTACAGCAGCACTTGCTCTATTATTGACAACATGAGCAATCATAGAGCCTCCTTTGGCTGTGATGGGTTTTTGTGCGTCAACCGACTTTTGTGTCCATTTAGGGGCCTCCATGGGAACGTCTTCGAACTCCTCCTCATTCTCTGACTCTTGTCCAACTCCATGTTGGTTTTGTAGTGACATGGCTATTGCGCGGTTGAGGTCATCCTCTTCGTCAGCCTGTAGCGCTTCTTCGGGTGGTTGTTCAAACAGCTCATCTGTACTCCCGACGTTCCCGCCGACAAATAGTGACTCCTCGCCCTGTGGAGGGGACTCTTTACGGTGGTTACCATATAATTGCCGCCGTCGTGCCGCTATATCCTGGGCTGCTTGGTAGCTAGCAACCTGTGCGGCAGAAGGTTTTGGGAGTCGGTTCAGGCCCTCGATAGGAACATCTTCAAAATCTTCCTCGTCATCCTCCTCGTCTTCCTTGGATTGGTATTGAACTTGAATGGCATCCACGTCGATGGGTTTATGTGCCTCTCCAACGTCCTTGTCTCTGCTGACCACACCCAGAGCCCATCCTCCCTCAGCACCCTCATTCTTTACAAGGATATACTCTCTGTTCTTTTCGCCAGCAACTCGTGCATTGACTCCAAGTGTCAAGTCGGTACCGGTCATGCCCACTTCAAACATGAGGCGTTGAGTGAGGTGATTACGTTCCTTGACCCTTTCAATCTGGAACTTAGAAAAAGCCATACGGTCCGGGAACATTTCTTCCAGCTGCTCTTTGCTGAGACCCATTCTGAGTCGACTTCTGAGTCTTGCTGCATTCAGGATATTGTATCGATCAGGAGCTGGAAGACTCTTGAAGAATTCGCCGTCAAAATCAATCTTGCTGAAGTCGTAAAGGTTGATGTCTTCACCATCATGAAACTGTCGCGCATATTCTTCCAGCTCTTCCACACTCATGATCCGAGGATCCTCTGGCTTTCCCATCGCCGCGATACCACCACCATCTAGATCGGGGAGATGGTAGGCGTCCTGCTTTCGAAATGTTCTTCCTTTCTGTCTCTCCTTTTGGGATAGGAGAGCTTCGTCATCGTAAACAAGTTGACTGGCATCAGGAATCACTTCTTGTTGCTGCTCTTCCCGGGCAGATATATCGCGTTCTCGGTCTCCCCGTCTGCGATCATGGTCTTCTTCTGCAATGCGCTGCATCTGTACCGCTAGCAGTTTACCAGCCGTTCGTACGGCATCTTCACGACGTCCCTCACGTCTTCGCTTTCGATGCTGAATCGTCTGTCTCTTGAGAACTGGTGCACCGCCGTCGAAGACAAAGACTGGTTGTATACCGAACCAGAGGAGCTTGCATATACGACGGAAGAAACCGACGACGTGCGAGTTGCGCAGTGCATTGCCTTCCTTGTCGCGCACAGCTTTAAGAAATTGGTATATCCAAATTGAGGCATCGACTGCGAGTCGCTTGCGATTTAGAGTCGCGAGGTTCGTCGGTCGGGCGCATGGCTGAACAACTGTCCATAGGCCGGTCACACCCATGATAGGCTATGACCGTGAATGCGATACAGGTCCGTAGAATAGGGAGAGGCACAGGCCTTTTGTTCAAGGGATACGCCCTCGTCCAGGGAGAGAAATGACCATTGTCTGGCGATGGATAGAAAAGGAAGGGTCAAAGTTTCTACACTTAGCTAGATCTTGAAAAGGGGAAGATTAGAAGGTCTAAGATTTAAGAAACAACCCAAAGTTCACGGTTGCCTTCAGCATCGAGCTTCTATAACGTCAGCGTGGGGCCGATATATCGCCGCTAATCCGTAACCGCTAACCATTTTCTATCTGCAAAATCCATGAGCATCACATTCCCCACGTCCTCACCAGTATCACAATTAGAACCTTCAAACCCCCTGGCTACTAAGCCTTCTGGAGAAGAAATGGACACAGAAAAGGCTCGGGAATACCTCAGCAGTATTCTAAACAAGAACCTTCGCGTGTACACCTCTGACGGTCGGTTGTTCTGGGGCGCTCTAAAATGCACCGACCCTGTATGTTTCAATACCCTATATCTTACTGAGACCCTCAGCTGTCAACCACTAACATGGTCTTAAGGACAAGAATATTGTGCTGGCTCACACTTATGAATATCGGCAACCATCTTCAAGGGAGCGTGAAAAGGCAGCAGAGAAAGCAGATGGTGAAACTGTCAAGGTCGACATGACATCTCGTTACTTGGGGTTGATTGTCATACCTGGGGAGCACATTGTAAAGATGGAAGTTGAGGAGTTTGCAAGTCAAATGAGGAACCAAATCATCATATGATGCAATGAATACAGACATAATATTAATGAATTAAAAATACAACTAGGCTACCGCAAGAGAAAGTTATCGTACCCAATTAGCCTTTTGCAACCCGTCCAGCCTAAAGCTACCCACAACGCCTTGTACAACCAAGATTGCGTTCCCATCATTACTACCAAACGTGAGGAAAGCAGGACACACTCTCGTCCTCTTTCACGTAGCCTAAATTCCGTGTTCACTTTGCCACACTAATCATGAGCACTTTCTATGCGGCAACAGCTTCCTGTGTGCGTCCACGAGACTCGCCGTTCAGACCGCCATCGCTGTCCAGAATGGAGCCTCGAGCATCCTCCTCTTCCTCTTCTTCGTCGCTATCGAGATCATGGCCCCGAGCGGTCCAAGAACTTCCATCATTCAAGGGCACATCCTGACCGGAGAGATCGTGGCCCTCACCCCTGTTACGGATGTTGTTACGGCGTCGCTGAGACAGTGTACGGGCGCGGGTAGAGAGCTTGGAAGAAACGACAGCGTTGGAAGTAACCCAGTTGGTGAGGGCGTCTTCACAATCTTGGATAATGGCCTTGCTAGCCTCATATCCGTCGTAGGCCTGGCGGGTCTCACCGGGAGTGACGGGGGTGTCGTCGATAAGCTCGAGGAGGTGCTTTCCATAGCCAGCGATAATGGCAACCTTCTCACAATGCTCACGGAGAGCATCGAATTGGTAAGTATAGGCAGCCTTGACCTTCTCTCGAGTGATGTTAGAAAGCTGAGCCTCAGCAACAAGAGACTCGGCTTCAGCTCGAACAAGTTCCTGTTCGAGGACGACAATCTTGGGTGAGTTGGGCTCTTTGTACTTGAGCTGAGCGATCTGATCAGTAATTTTCTGCTTGCCTAAGTCGGAGTTAGTAGTCAATACGCCAGTTAGGTGTTGGGTGGTTCTTACGGTCACGACTAGGCTGAACCGAGGCTTCAATGTTACGGATGCTCTTCATAGTAACTCGGTATTGGTCGTAACGGTCGACGTATTGGTCCTCGAGCTCGCCAATCTCGTACAAAAGGACACCAAGCTTGTCGGTAACGTCGGAAACATCCTCGTCACCAGCCTCGCCCCAGATGGATAGTTGTTGCTGTCAAGTTAGTCTCGTTACTTCGTGTGATTGGGGTATTGATCACGTACAGCAACTTCCATTCGCTCACGAGCAACAGTCTCCAAGCTTCGCATCACATTCTTCTCCATCTTGACCAGCTGGGAGAGCTTCTTGGCCAAGTCCGGGCCAAAGGCACCGCCAGCATTGCGACGAAGGGCATGTCCTACATGGAAGATATTGTTAGTTTTGTTGGAATTGGCCGTCGAAGTGGCGTGATGCTAGCTTACCGAAGCTGCTTTTGAAGAGGCGGCCGGATTTTGTCGACGACGGAGGTGGCGGGGGGTTCTGTTCAAAGTCAGTTTTGCTGTCGCATTGAGTTGTGGCGCTATAAGCTTCGATTGCACGCACCTGAAGCTGGGAGGCAGTAGGCGCCCGGGTCTGGCGCATAGAATAGGTGCGATGCATGATGAATGTTGTTGTTTATGAATGCGACGAGCGGTGGAGCTGAGTATGGATGACAAGAAAAGGGTCCAGCAAGGACAGGCAGGGAATAAATAATATCAGGTGGGGATTAACGTGGGTTGGAGACGGAGATGGAGATCACAGCTGCAGAGCTGAGAATCAAGCAAGGATAAGATGTCGGAGAAAACACGAAGAGAAGATCGTGGCCGGGCTGCTGGGAACGTTATATGATGGAGGCCAGAAACAGGGCAAGGCTTGGGCTTGGGCTCTGGTGGTGTTTGTTGCTGCGGAGAACCAAGATCGTCACCTTTTTTGATGCGGGAGCTGAGAGCGACGTCATCAAGACTCCACTTGGATCAGAACGAGTGAGTGAGGTCTTCGATACAGACGGGCGCTAGCATCTAGTGTATGTCTACACCGCAGCCCCTGGTGATCGCAGCATTGCTCGAGGTACTGCTACTTACGTCAAGCGTGTCTCAGGTCTACGTCTTGCATTCTACGGGCCTCCGCCAAGGATCCTCACCTGTGCATCCGGAGAGGCCCCCATAGGCCCCCTAGAACTGGACTGACCCCGGATGCGGTTCACGACCACCAAGCTTCGGTCGAATCCAGCGCAGCGCTAGTGAGTCTCTAAGATGAAATATGACGATATAGAGGCACAAGTTTGGGGTCTTTTTGGAGGTCAGTGGGTGGGTGAACGGGCTCTAAAACTGAGCGATCCTCCGGCAGTCTCCAGCCCGAAAGATAAAGGAGACAAGGAGTAATTGAGGCAGCCCAGAAACCGAATTACCGCAAGGGCCCTCTTCACATGTTGTGGTAGGGTTAGTTCCGATCTTGATGTCAGTCGTTTCGTGAAACAGGGTCTTCTCCGAAGTTGAGAGCACTTTCTCGAAGCAGTATGGATTGATTTGACGAGGCTGAGGAGTGTTTCAATGATATCAAGTCTGGTATTAGTATTGAGTAAGATACATAAAGGCTGCGTGTAATTGGCTATAAAAAGTTCCAATAGAATGCCAAGGATATGGTTGTTAAACTACCGGAGCCAAGAGAAATACTTTCCATACCTTAATTACGTCGACTTTGATCGTTGGGTTACAGGTTCGATCGCAGCTTAGCATCCGGCAATTCCGATGAACTATGGATTTTACTCTTGAGTGAGCCTCACGTGAGACAGCCTATTACCTCTAAGATATATCAAAACTCAGGAAAAAGATGAATAAAGGAATTGGGTTGTTAGAATCAAATAGCCTATGCTATTTGATTTTCTATGTTATTATCTATGATTCTTTCAGTTTAGATATTCCGCGATCGCTCTCATGTTATGATGACTAGTGGTTAGGGCATAACAAGTCCAGCCTCTCATAGACCGTGGTTGAATAGCTTTGATGCATTCTCAATGACTATAACATAGTAGGTATGGAATATGCCAAAGTCATATATGAGCAGGACGGAATCTGTAATAGTAAGCAAAATAAAACCATCATGTTCAGGTTCATAGAAGGAACAAATAAAGCCGCCCGCTACCTTACTTTAATGACCAATCCAACCACGCTAAGCCGGATTAATGAGCGCGACCCCCTGTTAGTATCCCCTGTAAACTCCTCAACGCGTGCAATTGACACTCATTCACTCATTCACCTAATTATTCATCTCTGTCTTGGTTTGAGTTTCAAGCGACAACAAACCGACAATCAAGGGCACTCGTGTCTTTTGTACAAACCTGTCGTATATACTACCATTATCCTACTCTATGGTATTCAGTTTCTTTGATTTTCTCGACCTCTTTTGCGCATTTCGCTCCTATTTTCTGCCGACTTTGCACATTAAATCTGTCCAAACGCGTCTCGGGCTAGGTCGACAAACTCGTGTTTCTTTCTCTCATTAATTATTACCTACAAAGGTGCTCTCCACAGCAACATCAACACGAACTGCAGTCCTTACCGATTTCTCTTTCTCTTCCCTTTTTTTGTGTTCGTCAGCGAGTCCTCTTCTGCAGGATGGTAGCAGTTGCTGGCCATAGAGAGGGGCAATTCTAGGAAAACCTTTGGCAGTTCGCCTTCCCTACCAATACGGGCGGTTGTACCTTGCCTTAGAGTTTGAGGCAAAGTGATCAGCCACAACCATGGCTTCTCATCATGTCACCTCCATCGTCGCAGGGAAACCTGACACAATCGACTTGACATTGGAAGACAGTGATTCAGACTATCAACCACATTCTCCGGTGCCCCTAAATCGCAACAACACTACTACGGCGCGCTTCACCCCCAGTTTTTCAATTTCAAGTGAGCGCCCATCATCAACCAACGCTCCCGTCAGCCCGCCCAAATTGAATAGATCTACGAGCTCTATCACCGCCAGTCAGGACAAACAACCCTCTGCCTCAGCTGAGCCGCCACGTCCAGCATCTTCAGTACTCAAACTGAGCCAGAAGGTGACCACGATAACAGCTAATTCTGATGACGCCCAAAGTATGGCAAAGCTGTCTAGTGTTACAGCCTCCAACTTGGCATCTCGTCAGGTGACGCCTACACCTGAAAAAGACGCTTCAAAATCAACGCAACAAGTCAAACTGGCATCTCCCAAATATCAAACGCCTAAGAAGCAGGAATGGGATGTCGCTGCTATTGCTCAAAAGCTGACCCAGTTTCGCCAAGATATCAAGGATGGACACAGTCGCATGACCTCTTATATCATTGAGTCCACCAAGCCTAATGAACGTCGTGTTCTCACAGGCAAAAACCTCTTCGCCGGACTTACTAACAAACCTGTGCCGTCCAAGAAGGGAGAAACGATGAGAATCAAATCCAAAGTACTTAGGCCCCAAACGAGTTCTTGTGAATTATACTAATATTCTCGATAGGAACACACGAAACTTAAGAACAACAAACGTGAGGATCACTACAGCATCGTACGCATCCAGACAGATGAAGAGCGTGTCCCAAGATATCGCTTTCATCACGTGGAAATCAAAAAGAATATTCTTACTCCCAACACAATGCTGACCTTTGTACCCCACTTGAGGGATCTTGAGACCTCGGAGGAGTACAAATACAATGTTTGGTTGCAAGAACTGGAGGATATTGACCGCAAATCCGGTTTCAAGCCCATGAGTCGCGAGGAAAAAGTGCGCATAGCAGTTCGCTCCGAGTTTGCATCAACTGTCTTGTTATATCTTGGGACTTGGCTGGACAAGCTCTCATTACCTGGTTGTAACAGATCGGCTCTTATTCGCTACATGGCAAGTCGAGAACCTGACGACGCGATTACGCCCCGACAGAAATCAGACATTCTCAACTCACATCGCCCGGCCGAATCCACTACACCACCCGAGGCAAATAAAGCCGCCAACATGTTCACGGAAGCATTCCGCCGTGTCTTTCACCAGGGCCAACCCCCAACCAAGCAGATTGAACTCCGCGATGTTTTGCTTTTGGATGAGTCTGTCGACAGCATCATGGAAACCAAGCCCACAGCCAAGGATGGCTCCAGCACACAGCACGAAAACGAGCATGATGCTGTCGAGTATTGGCTGGGAACTTATTCAATTCTTGGTTGCCTCATTTGCTTCAGTCATTCCTGTGAGCACGGCGAATATGATGCCCAGAATTGCAAGCGCACCCTTTCGATTCTTCCCCGCCTCTCGGATACTCTGCAGCGGCGACGACGCCTCCCCTACAGTGCAACTGATACGGTCAATGGTAATGGCCCCTTATCCCCACTCTGCAAACGGAATTGCTATCGAAGCTCGCCCCGGCCTGTTGCTGCCTCAATCCAGAGGCCTTGGGATGAAGAGGATCATTACATCCTACGATCAACGGTTGCGACCGCCGACCACAGCAAGGTTACGAAAGATCCATTCTGCTTGGTTGCCCAGCTCCTTGACCGGGATTGCAGTGACGTATTTAATGAATATCAAAAGCTGAATGTTTCCATGTCTCCAATCGAGCCAGCAAACAGATTGCAAATCCGGACGGTCAGCTGGTATGATCGTTTCAAAAAGACGCTCATCGGCGACTGGGAATCCCACACCAAAACTCACGAACATCAAAAACGCGAACTCTCCGAGCCTTGCAATCACGAAGGTCCCTGTACTTCGGAAAGTTGTATTTGCGTCCAGCATGGTGTTCTCTGCGAGAAGTTCTGCGGCTGTACCGTAGAAAACTGCGCCTACAAGTTCACAGGCTGTGCCTGCCACTCGCAAGGCAAAACCTGCCTCTCAAAAGGAAAGGAAAGGCCATGTATCTGTGTGCAGCTGAACCGCGAATGCGACCCAGATGTTTGTGGTCGATGTGGGGTGGTTGAGAGAGCCGATCCCGAGAACGCTGATGATGAAGTTCTTCATTCCACTGGCTGCCAAAACTGCTCGCTGCAGCGGGGCCAGGCGAAGAGCCTCGCTTTGGGCGAGAGTCAACTTGAAGGAGTCGGGTATGGGTTATTCACTATCGAGGATATTGCACAGGACGATTTCATTATCGAATATGTGGGAGAACTGATCACCCACGACGAAGGAGTGCGACGAGAAGCCAGGCGCGGCGACGTGTTTGATGAAGAATCAAACATTTCGTACGTATTTACCTTGTTAGACAACGAAGGTATTTGGGTGGACGCTGCCACATATGGTAATTTGAGTCGCTACATCAACCACGCATCAGAGAGCGACAAGCGCGGATGCAACATCACCCCACGAATCCTTTACGTCAATGGCGAATACCGCATCAAGTTTACAGCCATGCGTGACATTAAGGCTGGAGAGGAATTGTTCTTCAATTATGGTGAAAACTTCCCCAACCTGACAAAGAAGCTGCTCGACCATAAGGTGGGAGGGAAGTCTGACCAGGGTAAAAAACGATCGCGACGGCCCAACGGAGAGGGGGTTGCACGAAAGAATCCAAAGACGGATAAGAAGAAGCCCGGAAAGGGAAAGAAGCGTGCTCAAGCAGTTCTTGATGAAGACGACATGCTGGCGGATACGCTTGGTTTCGCTCCAAAGCCTCTTCGTAAGCGTAAGAAGGGCCCATTTGAGGAGGACTCAGAAGAAGAAGAGTATCACCCGACTGGCACTGATGCCTCAATCATGGAAACACCTTCAGATGGAGATTCGGATTTCGGAAATTCAGCAGCAAGACTGCGGAAACGAGCGCGACAAGACGGGAGGGGAGCGGCACCAAGCCAGAGTGGCAAGCCACGAGGAGATCTAAAGACACGCGGCAAAAGAGGAGGCGCCAGACCAGGAAGTGGTCGACCGAGAAAGTATCCACGAAAGCTGACCTCAGCTCCAATGATGGAGCATCCTTCAGCTTCGGACTCGCAAGATCGAGAGGAGCCGGAAGAACGTCAGATCGTGGCTGCAGACACCATTGTGCCAGCTGCACTGCAACGACCACAGCAAGTGGAAATCAATGACAGCATGGAATACATCACTTTTTCAGAAGAACGCACTGAGGAATCCAGGCTGCTGCAAAGCCAACTAGAGGAGGACAACGAAGACGACGACGACGACGATGACCAAGACGTGGTTGTGCGGTCGCGCGTTGATCGAGGTGTTAGGAACCGGCGCCCAACAGCCAAGTTAAGAGATGACGGAGACTGGATAAGCGGGAGTCAATAATATAGAGGAACTTCCAAGGTGGTTTGGCTTCATTGTAAGATAATGGGGACATCGCAGACATGCAGTCTTGCTCAAACTAGGATGGAATTTCTGGGTTTGGGTGGGAAACGGAGGGCTTGGTATTAGTTGGGAAGAGAGTTGTTGTAGTAGTATCATAAAATATATGAGTTTTAAGAACGTAATTGGCTTTGACGTTTTGTATTATGGATATTAAAGGCATACGGACGCTGTTCAATTTACGATGTACAATGTTTCTGTGATATCATTTTTATGAAAGAATGTTCGCCTTTATCAGTAGTTATGTCTTCACAATTCATTAAATAGATCTGCACTAGTATCCTTTTTGTACAGATGCAAGCCACTGAATTCTTCAGCTTCAGTGATGATGCCCCACATCCCACCACTAGCGTCCTGTAGGCTCCAGCCACAAGCGATGACGTTGTCGATTCGAAAGTGGGAAGGAACAAGACAGGTGCACGACAGCTTTCCCAGCTCTGCCAGGTTCAGGTCCAAACTGACCACCTTTGTCATTCTTCCTCTTTGCACCTTACCTACAAATACGAAGACCATCGCAATCGGAAGCTTTTCTCTCTCTCTTATAACACCAACACTCTACGACTAAACAACTCTCTCTCTTGAGCTTCTCAATCTTCACCTATTTCACTTTTTGTTTACCCCTCGTCACCGCCGTCACAATGACGCTCTACTATACTCTTGTGCGTTGCTCGTGCCTCTATCGAGAGCCTCAATCTCCAGGGCAATGGAGTTGCTAACTCTTTGAATTAGGTCTTCATGCTTCTCGTCTTCGAGATGGCGCTTTTCATGCTCCTGATCGTCCCCATGCCCTTCAACGTGAAGCGCAAGATCTTCACGTGCGTCAAACACGAACTTCAGGCTTCTTAACCGTGTAGCTAACAGGATATACAGCTTCATCTCCGAGAGCCCTGTTGTCGCGAAGATTCAATACTGGATGAAGATTACCTTTGTCTTTATCCTAATTCTCTTTGTTGACAGCGTCAATCGTGTCTACCGCGTCCAGCTCGAGCTCGCCGCCGCCTCCGAACAGTCCAAGCAGGGAGGAGCGTATGTTACCCCAAGCAACCACGATATAGCAGGCGGACACATTACTAACAAAATTGATTGCAGTGCCGCCGTTATGGGCCACGAACGCCTCGAAGTCCAAGCCCGCAAGTTCTACTCCCAGCGCAACATGTACCTTTGCGGTTTCACCCTCTTCCTTTCGCTCATCCTTAACCGCACCTACGTTATGATCCTCGAGGTGATGCGTCTGGAGGACAAGGTCCGCGCTTACGAGGGTACTAAGAGCGATACCAAGGAGGCTGAGAAGCTTGCCGTTGCCGGTAAGCCCGGTGAGCTTGCCCGTCTCCGAAAGGAGCTCGAGCAGAAGGACCAGGACCTCAAGACCTTGAAGAAGCAGAGCGAGCAGCTCCACAAGAGCTACGATGAGCTTAGCGACAAGTACGCTGCTACCCAACAAACCGGCGAGTCCAGAAAGGGTATCTAAGGAGTGTATGTTATACATTGCTCCACAAAAGGACACCCGCCCACCCAAGGATATCGACACCTGATCTATTGTTGACCTGTCTGGGCGAAAGAAAAGAGACTGGGTCTGCGCCTGTCAGGGCATATACAAACAGCAACAGACCTGGGCCAGATGAAGTGGAAGATGTAAAATAGCGTTATAACGGTTACTGGGTTAAGCACCGGCGCAGAGTTGGCGATCGGACGTGGACAGGACGATCGACTATTTGAGATTGTATTAGGAATTTCTCCATGTATAGAATCGTGACGTTGGATGATAGGCGCCTTGGTGTACTAACTACCACCAAGGTCTCGCATGCAAATTGCTACATCACTATTCAAACATCATACCATTTTCGACCCCATGTGATTTGAAAGTTCCAACCAGATAACTTACAAATTCTAGCTGCATTCTGCCTATTTCGAACAACGAACGTTTCAATAGGTTCCATCATACTTTTCCGGAAATAATACACCATTGGCCATTTCCAACACTGCATACTCAAGATCATCTTGAGCTTCATCCTCATCCCACGGCAAAAGCCCCATTGCACGCATGCCGTCTACACCGCCTGCCTCACCAACCTCCCGAACGGCCTGCTCCCCTCCTACAGTGACATCGCCTGTAGGGGCTCCGGTAAAGTCAGGGCCGGCTTCCCCATGTAGAAAACCCTTGCGCTGATGAGCAAGATATAGCGCATTTGTCTGAGTTAATGGACAGGCCGGAAGATATATAATTGTTGTAGGAGGGATGTCCGGGCGACGGAGACGGTCAAGGGCGTAGACGGTATCGCAGTGCCAGACAAGGTAATCACCAGGGTCAAGTTTTGGTATAGGGATCATGCTCCGGTGAAGCTGTAGATGAGGATGTAAGGCATCATTGAGCTCCTGTGGGTAAGAAGGCAATGCACCTTGAATCACAGACGAAGGTGGCTCCTCAAGGATCCAATTCTCCGGCGTAAGATAGTCTGGGCTTGACGGCGAGGATTCTTTAGGGACGAAAAAGGGGCGCAGAAGAAGATATGCAGTTGTCAGTCGAATCATGGGACACAGCAGAAGAGTGCCTTGGCCAAAAGGAACTTCACTCAAAGCGACCCAGCCTTGAAGCATGCGGAAGACGCTGCATGAGCCGTCGCCATTGTATAAATCGCTTGTCACCTTTAGTCGAGTGCTGCTCTCCCATGGATCCCAATCCTCCCAACAACCATCCCATATGCATTGATAAGTCGCTGCTGAACCATAGCCATCGGGCTCCCAACGCTCCACGCTTCCTCCGTCAACATATACGCTGAGGGAACATGTCTCATCCTCAGGTCTTCTGACCCTCATGCGGTCGGCATAGCTGATGGGGAAATTGGGGCTCACAAGCGCTTCTGGGTCAGACGAGTGCCATAAATTCATTAAAAAACGTTGAGTATAGAGAATGTTAGGATGTGCTCGAGATTTGATCTGCCCAGGCGCCCAGTATACCCCGTAAAGATGTGGATCATGGGTAGGTAGCCGTTGAGCCTGAAGGTCTCCCAAGTGAGCGTCGGTATCTCCCTTCCACTTGGAAGCCAGATCATGAGGAATCACATTCCGAACAACAGCGACGCCTCGATCCTTGAGTCTTGAAGAGAAGTCGTCTGCGACTGAAGAGTCTTTGAGATCGTTAAAATCAATAGATGGGTAGATATCCGAACCGGCTTTGGCGATGACGTCGATTTCAGTCTTTAACTTGACAAGCAGTCTTGTCCAAGAGGCCTTGATCTGAGATTCTTTACCCTCAATCAAATCTCTCTTGATTCGAGCGAAGCGAATAGGAAGAGGTATGGGCTCAGTAATCTGAGCAAACATACTACTTGACGGGCCATGTCGGTGACCTTTTGGAACCATGATGCGAACGTGGGAGAAGTTGATTGTGGGTATTGGGAATAGTAGATAACGTTAAGCTATTCTTGGCCACTCGCACCAGCTGAATCATGGAAATATACTGGAGTAAATGTGGCAATCAAGGTTCACTGTTAGAACAACAGAGGTAAGAATTCAAGGATCTTCTCAAAGGAAGGGAAACCCGACATTTCCAGGGCCAGTGAGGCGTATGGTTGTTTTATATACGCGGTTTACATGGTCCCTAACCATGCCCGAACGCTGCGCGTGACTGTCCACGACCTCTTTGAGTGTCAAGTCATTGATTTCATCGTGAGGAATTGTCGTCATGCGGAATTTCTTCGGATGGGAGCTTGGTATTCTTCGGATACACACGCTATACGGCCCGGATACCCGGTCCTCTGAGGCTGTCGTTTTGACTGCTTGGGGTGAGTTGCGGTGTGTTATCAATGCGATTAGCTGTGCTGTATAACGGGTTGGTCTGACAGCCTGGTATCATGGACTTAGTGTGCATACGGCCGGAAAGGTGGCATTGAATTGTGAGCATCACTATATGCACTTTTGCAAAAATACGAGCAAAATGATTTTATCGTTTTGTTGCCGTGAGCCGAGTTGTTTTGTTTTCTCGTTCAACTGAAGCACTAGATCTTGACTCGTTTGGATCGACGAAGTGACGGCTGTTCATGGGTTGCATCCTGTACCATTTCGGTTTTTGAATTAGACTTCCTCTTCTTTTCCTTCTTCGCTGTCGTGGGCGATGTATCCTGCTTGGCCTCTTTCGGTGGTGCCACATCATGGGATTGATCCGGTTGAGCCGGTTGCTTCATCAAGACATATGCCACTTTCTCCACGTCACTTGCTTGCACGTCGAGCCTGCTCCGCAGATCGTCGACTTTGGAGCATAGCGTACGGTACTCTTTGGCGTTATACTTGATAGGGCTCTGCTCCCCATTGCAGCATAACCACCAGAAAGCCTCGTCGGCAAAGAAGATGACCCGTGTCGCATCATGAACAGCCAGAAGCAAGGATGCAGTTGCAGGGCCAATACCTCGAAGCTTTGTCAATACACCCAAGGTCGCTTCTATGTCGGCATCCTTCTTGTAAGCCTCCAGAGCTTGCTTTACAATTTGCTGAGCATCGTTTGCATCGTTAGATGAGACCAGATTCATAAGAGTTGGCCTGAACTTCCCATGGCGTCTGATCTTTATTAGTAAACGGCTTCAGCATGCAGCTGTACGTTTCTGGCACAGATGGGTGGGCATTGACTCACAACTTCCACTCCACGAGGGTCTTGATGTCGTCTAGCTTCATTGGGCGACTTTTCGCGTTAGAATTGAAGACATCCAATGCGTCGTTGTATCGATAATTGTCCAGTTCTTGCAGCGTTCTTTGGCCACCTTTGGCTATCGGTTGATAGCTATTAGCCGATAGTCACATAAAATGGCATCTTTGGTGCCTTTTTTGATTCACTCACCACCCTTTTCATCTGAAATTCTCTTTATAAGAGGCGGGTATTGATCGAGAACTCGCTTGAATTCTCCAAGGCTGATCTTGTCGGCAGAGGTAATATTCGAAGCGGATGCCATAGTGCTGATATGATTTGACACAGTGACAAGATGTCCTTTTTTGAGAAACGACGGAGTGAAAGACGTGAAAGTACTGTGGTTATTGATTGCGACTTTCAATGATAGGCTGAAATAAGAGAGCCGAGTGTTACGAGAAACGAGCATAGAGATTGAGGAGAAGATGCGAAGTTGAAGTGTCTTGGAGAGACGCGACGCGATGGAAGGAGACTCGCACGGTGCACGATAGCACCTGCTAATATCCGTAAAACTTGCCAATTCTATTCGCCTCCTTTTTCTTTCTACAAAACCATACAAATACACCAAAAGAACATCAAATTCATTCTGAAGATATAAGACAATTGCTTTGGTAAAATTGTTTGATTGATTTATTCAGGAAGAAGAAATACACCCCTCCCCTTCAGGCAATCCAGTTGTTATCCTCAACATCACCAACCAATTTCCACAGCTTGTCAAAGACATTGCTTGGATCATACTGCTTCTTCAATCCCCTCAGGCGCTTCGAGTTTGAACCAAATGCATCTTCAGCCGAGATGGTGTCAGTGTTGACATAGTTCAGATAATGGCCAATGCCATCTGACAGGGCTTCGTCGTTATATCCAAGCTCGCGGATCGACTTCTGGAATCCACGATTGAACTGGCGAACTTTGGCATCAAGACTCTCATCCATCCACTTGTAACTAATACCGACATTATAGTAGTTACCTCGTGAGTTGAAGGATGTTGACTCAACAGGGATGGTCCGGATTGTTTTCTGGGGAATGCACTCTATCATGACAACAGAGCCCTCGGTACCCGGGGTATCCTCGACAAATCCCGCGAATTTATCACGGATTGATTCGGCGGTCGAAAGCTCCATGGGAAGAGTAAAGTTGGCGCCCCCAAACAAGTACCTGTTCCCCTTTGCAAAGACCTCATCTGCACCTTGGTTGATCATGGGATATGGCATAGGCCCAACTTGCTTCATCAATGCCTCGAGTTCTAGTATAGGAGCAAAATATTTCTGGCCATCTTCCTCTGGATTGGGTCCGATCTGGGCCATCTGAACTAGGACAACAAGGGGCCTGGGCGCATTGGGGTCTGGGCCAGGGGGTGCATAAGTGTAGCCCGTGAGAAAAATTTGCGTGCCGTCGTTTGTCTCTCCCCAGTGATTAAGAAACTTGATAACGGCGGGCAGAGCCGAGGGAGGGAGAAAGGCCATGCCACCCCAGATGTCGCCTTGTGGGAATATCTTGCTGGTGAATTGGGTAACTACGCCAAAGCTGCTGCCAGCACCTCGAAGAGCCCAGAAGAGATCTGCGTTCTCTTTGGAGGATGCGGTTACGATGCGTCCATCAGCTAGAACGACTTGACACGAAAGCAGGACGTCGATGGCCAGACCGTGAATACCAGACAAGATGCCATAGCCGCCATGAAGGATAAGGCCTCCAACGCCAGTATGGCTGACAGTTCCGCCAACGGTAGCTAGGCCTTTAGGCCACAGTGCTTCATCAACATCTTTCCATAAGCAACCTCCTCCAAAGGAGACGATCTTTGCCTCGGTGTCTACCGAGACATCACGCATGAGAGAGAGGTCCAGGACCATGCCTTCAGTTGAGGGAGCGCAAGAAGTTTGCGAGGTGCTATGGCCACCACCTTTGACATTGAACTTGATGCCGTTAGATGTTGCAAACTTGACGACCTCACTAGCTTCTTCAGCAGTCCTGGGCTGGGCTACGGCGGCCTATGAATTGATTAGTTGATAGCTGGGGAGCTATGATGGTTGACATACAGCGGGCTTGACACAGGTAAGACTCCATCGCTGGAGGCTCTCCTCGAATCCTTCGTCTCCAGGGACTAGAAGTCGTCCCTGAACCAGCTTACTACGCAAGGATGAGAACTTGTTTTGGGTCATATTTGTTTACTGAAGAAATGATGGTTCTCGATAATGGTGTGTATGCATCTTCTATCGTGCTTCCCAGCAGTCTTATATATTATAGTACAGGGCTGGTTGTCCGACATCAAGAGTGGTCGTCTCACCTCAGCACCAACTACATGCATAGCGTTGCATACCAAGATGCATACTGTACTTTACTCGGTTTGGATAACCAGACGAGCTATCAAGTTGGATGCGGAGTTATTGGTGTGAAGCTGAAAGAACGGGCGTCTAGGCTGTATCGCATAGCGCCATTGGCGGTACGTGGCGTCGTTTATGGCGGACAGTGGATATCTAGACGAGAGCCGGTATTCTCGAGCTTCTTGATTTGACAGAAACGGAGGACTCGATAAGCCTGGTTTATCCTGATTTGAAACAATGTACATAATATGGTGTATTTTGATGATCCTTCGGATCCTAATTGCCATGAACGTCAGCAGCAAAGCAGAATTTGCCCGCTTAGGTACCTTAGCTAGGTGATAGTCTTGAACTGGAGCAAGGAAAGCATGATACTGACTTCTATCTAAGCGGGATTCTCGCGGTTGATAGGGCTTAGGCCAGCCAGAGGTCAGCTCAATACGATCGACGAGAACATACACTAGCTCAAGGCACAGCACAGTAGCTCCCACCAGAGAGCAAGAAAACTTGTGACATTAAACCAGGATGCCAAAATTAAATAGTCTAAAGGCATGCTAAGATCTACTTAAACTTACCTAAGTCTTTTCGTCCTTTAGGATAGAGGTCCTAAGTTTTCTTACCTTCCCTAGGCTCTCCCCAAGATTCTCCACTACTCAGCAAGATTCGGAGACGTGAATAAGCCAGCTTACTGAGAGTTGAGGCTTGTATGGATCAGTTTTGAAGCTTTTGTCTGTTTTGGTTGGTTGGTTGGGACGCTGACAGTGATGTTGAAGCTGAGTGGTGCTAGGTATTCAGAGCTACCAAAAGTGAATATGCACTTAGAGGCTATGCATTCAGCTGTAACTTAGTAAAAGTATATTTTACACCATTTAACCAAACTTGAACAAGCAATAACAACTCTGAGACGGGGATGACACCAACTCTGTAACATAAATAGATACAGTTTCTGCCTCGGCTCTGTTGCCTCTGTTAATACCCGTTGATGTCTATCCCTGGATGGAACGGTCGAGACCCTGAGAGCGGTTAGATAACGGCGAGTCCGAAAAGGGCGATCGCTAAGGGAAAAAAAAAGGTGACCCCTCCGTTTTCCGTTTTTACGGTTTTTCTTCTGCATAATCGCATCCAATCGATCTTTAATTCTTACTCACTTACACCTTTGACCTTCCAACACCGCCAGTCTATACCAAACTCTCCTAGTTCACACACATAACAACAACACACCCTCTTCTTAAAAACCAGACCAAATCGCAAACATGGGTAACGTAAGCTAAGAGGATCCAGATGCCATCATAAACGATACCTTGTGCTGACATGGAGGTTTCAGGGTGCCAAGGCTCAACAGAAGCGCGAGCGCAATGCTAAGGACAAGAACACTGCCAAGTCGCAGCTCAAGGTGGTGAGTTACAGGCTGTACCCTGAAGCTTCTGGTATCATTTGCTAACATGACGAAATAGAACGAGAAGGCTTGTGATATTCAGTGCCAGATCTGCAAATCTACCTTCCTCAAGACCACAAAGGCCCCTGCGTATGTCCACCAAAATACCCACCGATCTCCTCTGTCTCTCCATCATCCTAACTAATATTTCCTCTCTAGTCTGAAAGAGCACGCCGAGAACAAGCACAGCAAGACCATTGCCGACTGTTTCCCCAACGTCCAAGTCGCATAGACCATAACACGAGGTTGACATGATGGCATCGTACGAGAAGAGAAAAGTCAAGAAAACAACGGAAAAATGGGAAATGTTTAGCGAAGCGAGGCGTACAGTGGCGTGATAGCCTAGACGAGAATGGGGAGACGAGACAAGACGAGATGAAGGGACTCATGATGGATATAAATTTTACGCGGCTCTTTTTTTGCATATTCTTGTCGTTCCTCTGTGTTTGCAATCTGCTACCTAATGGGCCTCTACGGCCTTTGGGGGCGCTTCCACGACTGGTGCTGTAGCGTCCTTCTGTTGCTTCGCCTTTGCCTGTTCCTCACGGATGCTAGCAAGAATATCAGGATACCAGCGCTCTCCAACATCGGGATGACTCTTAACACGATTCCGCAGCGTAGCCTCACCAAGCGTCTTTGAAGCACCGCCCGCTCGGAAAGTAAACTCGACATCATCAATGCGTCCACCATTGCGCTCCACGATCTTGCGACGCTGCTCCCTTACTTCCTCTGGTACAAGACCAACGCCAACTTTCTCCAGATCTTCAAACTCAGCACTCATTCGCACGCCTTGGAAGAAGGGAATAGAGAAGCGTGCGCCTGAACCAGCAGCGGGAGAGAGTACACGATGTGTCGTAGAGACGCAGACGCCCTGTGTAAGTGCCTCTAGGCCTTGGCCGATAGCAACGACGAGAGTTCCTGGAATAGGCTTGCAATCTATCCATTCACCCCGCACGTTCTGTACTTGAAGACCCTTGTGTGATGTTGCTTGGAGGAGATAACTTGTAAGCATGCTGTCTTTGTGAGGACCTACGCCCTGGCCCTGCACGTTTTCTTCGATACCAAGTTCCTTTGCATCGGGATACTTGACGATCTTGAGCTTGTGTTGCTGATCTTTGTCAAAGTACTTGTTGAAAGCGTCGCTGGGAAGTTCAATGGCTTCGGCGATGAGAGAGGTAAACTGAATTGAAATCTTGCCCATGCGTTCCATGTAGTCTGTATACACCTTGCGGAACTTGGGCAGTGACTCCTCAGATGGCCATTGATTGGGTGCTAACAGGTTACGATATAGAGGAGCATCGGGCCCAGGAATAGGATGCTCTGTTGAGAGATCAATTTGTTCACGGTGATCAATCTCTCCAGCTGTGATCTCCGCCGAGAGACGAGAGTAACCTAGAAAAGAGGGCGCATTCTTCATCTCAATCTTGAGTCTGGGCGAGTTAGTGCACCATCAGATCATGATAGCATCAATTCATGGCTTACTTCTCTTCCTCGGGAATGTTAAAGAAACCCTTTCCAAGTTCAATGATCTTCTGAAACAACTCATCCGAAATGCCAACATTCTTGAGATACAAGAAACCAACTTCCATCAAAGCATGACGAAGTTCCTTTAGAAACTGAGGCTTAGTAGCGGGATCCTGAGCCGCAGCTAGGTCCAGAATTGGAATAGATGTAAACGACATTTCTATATGTCAAGTTGGGCAAGCAAAGTAGTACAAGAGTTAATGTTGTAACTTGTTGATAAATAACTTGGTATCTTTCTCTTCAAGGTAGTCAAAGTCAAGTCAATAGATCGACTGATTGATTACCCATCACTTCCTCATGCCATGGCGCGATTGGTCCACCCAAATACACCTTTTTCTCCTCTTCTCCTTCGTCTCCAAGTCCCGTCCCGTCCCCGCATCTGCAACCGATTCCCGAGAGATGCCGGGCTATTTTGGTGATTGCCTCTTCTTTCGCTCACGCCGATGTCAGTCATACTCCAGATGCACATACAAACTGAGCAAATAGCTAGTATTCAGACCTGCTCAACGCCGGCGCTGCGATCATCTAACTTCCAAGGCCCCAAGCGACTAGACTATGACTGTCTAGTTTGATTTATACATACTCCTCTGTAACAAAAACATTCTAGCTTTTTAACACATCTTATTATTTACCAACCTCTTCCTTTCATGATGCTGAGAGAGGCTTTGTCGCAAGTAGGCCCGTAACCTTGTAAAACAAATCCTCAATCGGAGGCGCAGCAAATGCTGGTGCAGCGTCAAAGATGTCTGCTAGATGTTGTTGCTGGACCACACTGGGGTGAGAGTCGTCGTCCTCCATCTCGACATCTTCGGGCTCAGTCACGGGCTCAGCCTCGGCCTCATCAACGTCACTTGCCATATCCTCGTCCTCATCGAGAAGACCAACCTCATTGCCATCAACATCAATGCCCTCGAGGCGGAGGTCCTCAAGAGGCTGGACGGTTGCAAGAGATGAAGGGTCTGATCCCTCGGCAACCACCCAGACTTGAGCAGCATCATCCAGAGCGATGAAACCACTGGTCTCGGGAGCAGACACCAAGCTGACGATCCTTTGAGGCGTGCTACGCACCAACAGGGGCTCGATATCCTCAGGCTGGAAAACCGCAATGAGAGAACCCTCATTGGCAGGCAGAGCCAGGGCAAAGTGACCGGAAGTGTGATCAACAGCTAGTTGAAGAAGAGCGTTGGCCTTGGACTGTGGTATCACAACACCATATCGTAGCTCATCACTGACAACATCATAAACGCGCAGCTCATCTGATAGGATAATGATGAAAGGCGAAAGAGCGCGAATAGATCGTAATTGACCCTTCCATTGGCCCTCGAGGGTCTTAACCACCTCACCTGACGCAGCATCAATCACGTAGACTGCACCGGATCCAGCGGTTCCGAAGGCCACGAAGAGAGTTGAACCATCTTCTGAGAAAGCGATGCTTCCTTGAGGCTCTTGAGAAGCACCAGACTCAGGGAGATCGATCACGCCGTCTTGAGGAATACCGTCGCCAACAGCAATGATCTGAGAGCAACTCCAGGTAAAGACCTCGCGACCATTAGGACCCTTGACTACAACTCCATTCTGAGATCTTGTCTTGGGGCGCCACAATCGTACATTGCCGTCGGTACCAATAGTTGCGAAGCATGTCGAGACCGGGTTTGAGGCCAAATCGAGGACTGCCTCGTTACGATTTGTAGCATGAGGGGCATTAATCCTGGAGACAAGAGCAATCTGCTCCTCGCCTTCTTGTGCTTCCCAGAACTTGAGATACACCTCTCGTCGCTCTTGAATAAACTGATCCTTAGCATCGCTAATGACGTTATCCACGTCTCGTTGTGATGGCTCCCAGGTGTCAACACTAGCAAGCCACGCTCCATCAGCTGAGAAAGCTAGGTGAGTAATGAGAGGCTCTTCGATAGGGTGACCCTTGTTGGTGATGTTGACATCTGTTGGTTGTGTGCGAGCCAAAGCTTGCTTGGAAACGCTTCGGAAAGTCTCAAGATCGAAGGTCTGAAGTAAAGGTGCAGAGAACCCTCCTGACATAGTAGCCTGACGGCCATTACCCACACAGACGTGTAGTCTCGACTGATCAGTAGGGCTAATGACAGCTGGGATAGGTCGCTGTACACTGGCAGGTGTTGTCCATGTTCGCTGAACGAGAAGATCCTTGGGTGTAGTGACGTTGACGGCGGCAGACTGGATACCAGCGATGTATGCTGTAGGCTTCATCTCAGCAGTCGAAATGACCATCACTGAGTTATCGTCGAGATGAACAACATATGAAGATCCATTGGCAGAAACTGTGATATTCTCCACACTGCCGGAAAGATGGGGGAGGAAATCCTTCTTTCCTGTATCCATTTGCCATAGAACAAGAGAGTTTTCAGAACCACCTGAAATTACATAATTACCTGCGATATGTCAGTATAATCCTCGAGGTTTCATGGACAGTGTAGAGCTTCGTACCATCGCGCGACCACTTCAGGGCATGCACCGCTCTTCGATGCCAATGGAAGTTCTGTGCTTGAATGGGCTCCTTATCGGATCCTGACTTTGCAAGCGCTTGGCTTCGAGCAAGCGCATCGTGGTAGAGATAGATCGCACCACGAGCGCCACCAACAATGATATCCAGAACAGGAGCGGCTTCCTGTCGCGATTTCTTTCCGCTTGTCACTGGTCTAGGATACACTCGTAGATCGAGGGCGCTGACCAAGTCGGGAATATCAAAGGTATAAATCTCGTAATCCAGAGAAGCCAAGTTATCGAATTGTCGCTGTGATGGAACGCCAAAGAAGAGGCGGTCGTTGATGGCGCCAACCAGGTGGCCATCTTCACTAGTCTCCAGCAACTGCAGACCATTGCCAGGCTTCTTCATGACGAAGAGAACCTTGTGCTCAGACTCTGTTGTTGTGGCTGGGTATGCGACAACTTCTATTCGGCCCGGCTTATCTGATTCTGCGACAAAGATGATCTCCTTCACTTGACCCGAAACCTTTTTCGTCACGAGGGCCATGGCAGTTGCAGTCTTGGATTGAGTCTGGAAGAATTCGGGAGTCTTGGAGGTTGTCCAATTAACTTCACAGACGCGGCCGTCAGAGGTAGCCACCCAGATATTATTGGAGTTTTGCTTCGATTGCCTCATGGCGACGATATGCGCGGGTGCTGTGGCCTTCTCATCGAAGGTTTCGGCTGCAGTAATGGGGATTCGTCGAACAAGAAGTGAATCGGCTGCCGAGTAGACCTGGATAGATGTGTTGTATGCAATAACGAGGAATCTATAAAGGTTAGCTAGGCCAACGTTAGCAAAACATGAGACTTACTGCTCATCTTCTGTCAATACAGGATCGATATCAAGCATCCTGCCACCCATGGGCTTCGAGACGCGCCATCCTGCCTCTGTATCATCGAACTGGCGAACAATCTCAATCTCCCGAGTTCCAGCCTCTGCCAGAGCTCCCGAGATACCGTTCACCTCAGCAACCACGCCATTGCCACTCTCATTCTCAAGCTTAATTCCATTGACCTTGTTCGCCTTTCGTTCAGCTCTTAGCCTCTTGGTTCTCGAATCGTTCTCCGTCACATCGCGCTTGCGCTTCTTAGTCGGATCGTTTTTTGTTCGGGGGCTCTTGTGGCCGGCCATTTTCGCCACCTTCTTCGCTCTGCACGAGATCGATTTCGTGTGCTTGCGACGTTTTTTTAACAATTCGTCGACGGAGAGAAAAGTAACGAAGTTGTCCTACTGGATATGCTTCTACTGGGTAAAGGTTCGCAGAAATTTTGGTCCCGCTTGCGAAAAAAGTTGCTGATAAGATAAGCGATCCGTCGGAAAAATAGCGGAG